CACATTGATTAAGATCGATGTACAAAATTGTATCTCCACGAACAACACAAGTATATATCACTATAGTCTAGTTACGAACAACAAATACGTTAGTGGCGACTAGGACTCTATACTTACAAAGATGAATTTTTGCGAATAACCACACCCAACCCGCAGAAACCCACGGTGGGTAGTGGTTACCCACAACCCGTGGATAGCATAATTGTAAATTTCTGAGTGTGGGTACCCGCAAAATGTGGGGCGGGTAACCACACACACCCTAATTTCCACCCCTAGGCACAACCGCATAACCCATTTTCCTTAATTTGCGTGCCACCGAAACTCTACCCAGTTCCACGTCAGCCCCATGAATTCAAACCTCCTTCTGTCTAGTCCAATCCGACCTACTCCCGATCTTACGTGGCAACCACCCACCAGCGCCACGTACCCACGGCCAACCCCATTCCGTGCAACTGCCGGTGACGGTAGCAAAACCCCCCACTGGGATTAGCCGCGGGAAAGTCAAAAATTAGTTAAAAGGTGTGAATGGAGGGAACTTAGCCGTTTTTAACCGCAATTCTTAGTGACCACTCGTGTCACTTCGTCAATCCCTCTCTCTAACTCTCTCTCTCTTCCATCTTTCTGATCACTTCGGCATCTTCCATCTTCCCCACTATTCATTCCTCTGTTAGGAAGCCGGAGTCGATTTGATTTTTTTCCCCGTTCGAACGGAATAAAGTTTGAATCTTTTCCCCAAATGTCGTCGGCGATGAAGGCAGTGATGCTCAGAACGGCCGATGTGCAGCCGTGGAACCGGCGGCTCTACAAGGGGAAGTACGCCGATCAGAGAACTGACCTCGTTTTCGTGGTAGAAGCCGGGAGAAGAATCGGAGTTCGTTGCCAGCAGGACGATCGTAGCAGCAATTCGTTTGCAGGCGACTCGGTGATCCGCCGCAAGCCCGATGTCGTTAGGCGCGAAACCAGAGTGAGAGTTCTGAGCAGCCCGATTTCGGAGGAGAAGACGCCGACAATTAAGAAGGTAGAACCAGAGATGATCGAATTCTCCCAGCTTGCTCTGTTTTTCTTAATTTGCTCTGTTTCTGATCTGTTCCTCTGGCTTTTGTAATAGAGGGTTTTCACGTTTGGGAAAGGGAAAAGTGAAGGCAACAAGAGCATGAAATCATTGGTAAGCATCGTTTCTCTCATCATAAAAGATCATTTTCTCACGTTCGATTGTTGTCTCAACGATTAATACTACGCAGCTCGGAGGGAAAGGAGCGAACTTGGCCGAAATGGCGACGATCGGGCTCTCAGTCCCACCGGGACTCACAATCTCAACAGAAGCTTGCCAAGAATACCAGGAAAACGGCAAAAGTCTCTCAAACGGTCTGTGGGGAGAAGTACTGGAAGGTCTGACCATAGTGGAGAACGACATGGGAGCTTCCCTCGGCGATCCTTCCAAGCCCCTTCTCCTCTCCGTTCGCTCAGGAGCCGCCGTAAGCTTTCATGTGATGCTCTGTTTCCCAATTTCCAAGTTCCCCTGCTTTTTAAATAATTTTGTGTCTTGCTAGATCTCAATGCCTGGAATGATGGACACCGTCCTCAACCTCGGCCTCAACGACGAGGTCGCGGCGAGCTTGAGCGCCAAGAGCGGCGAGCGTTTCGCCTACGACTCCTACCGCCGATTCCTCGACATGTTCGGGAACGTGGTGATGGGGATTCCGCACTCCTTCTTCGACGAGAAGCTCGAATCGATGAAGGAAGCGAAGGGGGCGAGGCTCGACACCGACCTCTCGGCCTCCGATCTCAAGGAACTCGTCGAGCAGTACAAACAGGTCTACATTTCAGCGACCGGCGACGAATTCCCTTCCGATCCGAAGCAGCAGCTGCAGCTCGCGGTACAAGCCGTCTTCGATTCGTGGGACAGCCCGCGAGCCAATAAGTACAGGAGCATCAATCAGATCACCGGATTGAAAGGAACCGCGGTGAATGTTCAGTGCATGGTGTTTGGCAACATGGGGAACACATCAGGAACAGGGGTTCTGTTCACTAGAAACCCTAGCACCGGCGAGAAGAAGCTCTACGGCGAGTTCTTGATCAATGCTCAGGGCGAAGATGTCGTCGCAGGGATTCGAACTCCGGAGGATATCGAGGCGATGAAGAATTGCATGCCGGAGGCTTACAAGGAGCTCGTCGAGAATTGTGAGATCCTCGAGCGGCATTATAAGGACATGATGGTACCAAATTTCTCTAAAACTCTGTTTTCTTCCTCAAAACAGGGGAGAAATTGTTGAATGCTAATGTGGTCTAATTTTTTGCAGGACATTGAGTTCACAGTCCAAGAAAACAGGCTATGGATGCTGCAGTGTCGATCGGGAAAGCGTACCGGAAAAGGCGCGGTGAAGATCGCCGTCGATATGGTGAACGAAGGGCTAATCGATACTCGTATCGCGGTCACCAGAGTCGAACCGCAGCACCTCGATCAACTTCTACATCCACAGGTAACAACATCGTCACGATTTGGAACACCTGATTCAAAGCATTCTCCGTTCACCGGAAAGAAATGACGATTCTTTTTCTCGCAGTTTGAGTCTCCGGCCAACTACAAGGACAAAGTGATGGCAATCGGCCTGCCCGCTTCGCCGGGTGCAGCCGTCGGGCAAGTCGTGTTCTCTGCAGAAGATGCAGAGGCATGGCACGCGCAAGGAAAGAGCGCGATTCTGGTGCGAACCGAGACGAGCCCGGAGGATGTCGGAGGGATGCACGCCGCGGCCGGGATTCTGACGGCGAGAGGCGGGATGACGTCGCACGCCGCCGTCGTGGCTCGAGGATGGGGGAAATGCTGCGTCTCCGGCTGCGCCGATATCCGCGTCAACGATGCTGAGAAAATTGTGGTGATTGGGGATAAGTTGGTCAAAGAAGGGGAGTGGATTTCGCTGAATGGATCGACCGGAGAAGTTGTATTAGGAAAGCAGCCGCTAGCTCCTCCTGCTTTGAGCGGCGATCTGGAGACTTTCATGGCTTGGGCTGACGAGATTCGAAGGATTAAGGTGATGGCGAATGCGGATACTCCGGAAGATGCTCTCACCGCTAGAAACAATGGCGCTCAAGGGATTGGACTCTGCAGGACAGAGCACATGGTAAGAAATTCATCGTGATCTTGTTATCGCTCACCATGTGTTTGATAAAATGCCTGACTGAGAATCTCTCTTTCTCTCTTTCTTCTTCTTTTCCCGCAGTTCTTTGCTTCCGATGAAAGGATCAAGGCAGTGAGGAAGATGATAATGGCGGAGACACAAGAGCAAAGGAAAGCAGCATTGGACCTGTTGTTGCCTTACCAGAGGTCAGACTTCGAGGGCATTTTCCGCGCCATGGATGGTCTTCCAGTGACGATAAGGCTGCTGGACCCTCCGCTGCACGAGTTTCTTCCCGAGGGCGACTTGGATCAGATCATCGGAGAGCTGACGGCTGACACGGGAATGACGGAAGACGAAGTCTTTGCCCGAATTGAGAAGCTGTCGGAGGTGAATCCGATGCTTGGATTCCGAGGTTGCAGGCTGGGAATCTCGTACCCTGAGCTAACCGAGATGCAGGCACGAGCTGTGTTCCAGGCCGCGGTTTCGATGACCCATCAGGGCATCAAGGTTTTCCCTGAGATCATGGTTCCCCTTGTTGGAACTCCACAGGTAAATAATCCAACTCTATACTACAAAACTACAGTCCTCTTTCATTTTACTTCCCACAATTCGACATTAACGAATGAAAGCTTGGTTGTTTTTCTTCTTCTTATTCTTACCTGCAGGAGTTGGGGCATCAGATTGGTGTGATACGAGAAGTAGCGAAGAAGGTGTTCTCCGAGACAGGTCTCACATTGACATACAAAGTCGGGACCATGATCGAGATCCCCAGAGCAGCTCTAGTTGCCGACGAGGTTTGTTTGTTCGTTCGTTCATTCTCGCTGTAACTTTCAAGTAGAAGTTGCTAGAAAATTTACTGGGATGGCTAATGAAATGACAGATCGCAAAGCAAGCTGAGTTCTTCTCGTTCGGAACCAACGACTTGACCCAGATGACATTCGGGTATAGCAGAGATGATGTGGGCAAGTTCCTCCCCACATACTTGGCCCAGGGCATTCTCCAGAGCGATCCATTTGAGGTACTCATCAAGTTCAGCTGCAACAGAACTAGAATCTACTACATGTCTGTCTACATGGCAAAGCTGTTTGCCAATTTGTTCATTCATCCTTGCTGTTTTTCTTTTTCCCCCCTCAGGTTCTTGACCAGAAAGGAGTTGGCCAACTCATTAAGATGGCCACCGAAAAGGGCCGGTCAGCCAGGCCTAGCTTGAAGGTGAAGTTGGATTTCTTCCACATCACGAAATTTAAGGCTTTATCTTTTCGACGAACTGAGACCATAACAGTGAATGTTTGATTGATTGAAACAGGTGGGGATATGTGGAGAGCATGGAGGGGAGCCATCATCCGTAGCGTTCTTTGCAGAAGCTGGACTGGATTATGTTTCCTGTTCGCCTTTTAGGGTTCCAATTGCTAGGCTAGCAGCAGCTCAAGTTGCAGTTTGAAGTTGGTAGGAATGGAAGGAAAGAACTCACAGAAAGAAGTAGCTGGTGAAGTTTGTCATTCATTCATGGCTAATTGGGTGGATTATATGTATATAATTGATTGATTCTCCAGACTTCAGTACTTACTTGCGGAACAAGCAAAGGAGGGTTTAAGTAGAATAATAATACTCTGCTCTACTTTTATCCAATTCCTGATAGGTGGGGAATTGTAAGCCCCAGGGAGAAGGTGCTGAACTCTGTGATCGTGAATAACTGCTGCTTTACTTCCTTCCGGGGTTTTTTTTGGCAGATTATTCTGCGTATACATTATACAAGATGGAAATAACACGTACAAATGTATGAAGTTTGCCTCAGTAAGCTTACTTTTGGTCATAATACTAGGTTGAGTGTGAAATGCATGGATGTTTCGCAGAATCTATTAAGAGATACTCCAAGTTCTCCGCGCTCTGAAGGATGGCCACTTCAGCAGAAGAGTCGAGCTGTCATTACACCTTTCTATGCCACAGACGGCAAGCCATTTCTAGCCCTTCAATGGCACCGTCTCAGTTCATTGCATTTGCATAGGCACCCAACAAGAGTTCCTGTTAGTCGTGCATTATTCGTTAAAATTAAGTCCATCCAACATTTACATTATACACACGTTAATCAAGACCGAATAATGAAAGCTTATCTCATTGTTCCCAAAATTGATTTGGTCACATACTATGCCTCCATATATGAAGATCACAAAAATGAGATGAAGAATCTATCCCTATCTAGGATCAAACTTCATCGTATATAACGAATACAGTGGGCTTTGAGTTTGAGACATGACTTACAGTGTTGCTGGCTTGCTGCTGTGTCTAGTTATTCTATTCAGTCGCCCTGCTAGCTTTGTAAGCGTTTAACAGTTACACCTGGACATCGCGAAACAGACAAATGTTCTTTGTACTCCATCGTGAACTCACCTCTCCCCTGTGCATCATTTAATCAACAACATTATCAGCAAAAAAAAAAAAAGTAATGCGGATGTCAGATATACTTGCAGACACCTTCCTCACATCAGTCCTGCAAGCACTCCATCGTGAAGTTCACGCGCTTCTCGAATAGAGTCCATATTAGAAAGGCATTTCATAGCCAACACTATCAGAATCTCCATATTGTGATATGACTACAAGGAATCCGGATACAACGTTGAAAAGGCAGAATATTACCTTACCTGAGGCACAATCAATCCATCCCAAACACAGCAACGACTACTTGCCCAGCATGTGCTTCTTCAATGTACTGCAGAATATTACAGGAAAGGAACACATTCTACAGCGATTCTTACCAGCACTTATGACCGACAACAACAAGAAACATTCGGCTTTCTTCCTGAATAGTCATTGATCATCAATGGCTAACACTTCCACTTGCCATAAATCAATGAAAGCTACAAATTTGAAGATACCTGCCTCACAACCTTGCAGGGATCTGCTCCCATACGATCAAGCTTTGCTAATAAACGCAACACGAGGCACCTCGTATCTCCACATTTGCCTATCAACAGTTTACTGACTCACTTTGCACTCCTCCAACACTACACAAACACAAGAATGGCACCATCCAGCACACTAAAAGCTCTCTCCACCTCGATAGTGAAGTCAACGTGGCCTCCTGGTGTATCGATTATATTGACCTATCCCATTTTCAATCACTAAATCCGTCAACGAGACTTCTTATCTTGCATCTTCCAATCAATCAATTGAAAAAATGGCGGGGAAAAACTGAATCTTCCCCACTAACCTGGTCGCCATTCCAAGTCCATTGAGTCCATCTTAGCTCCGACAATGTCGAGACCATGAACCTCGTGTATCTCGTGAATCCGGCCGGTGTAGTAGAGGATTCGCTCAGTGCAGGTTGTTCCCCGATTTAGAGTGTGAAACGGCGGCTTCTCTTCACACACCAGAAATTTCGCGGATTATATTATGCTCAAAAATCGATAGAATTGAAATCTCGATGGCAAATTTGATATGACTCCAATGTTTAGTCACCATTTTGTAATTATTGTTCCTAGTAGTAGTAGTAGTAGTAGTAGGGCTGTACGTCGTCGCTTCAGTCTTTCTGCATTCCGCAATCAAAACCCTAATAGGATTAGTGACGAAGAAGAGGGAAAACCTCCGGCGGCCGCCATCCTCACTTGATTGGAAGTTTAGTTCGTTCTGTATTTTTGGGTTAACCGAAGAAATTCATAACTAAAACAGCAGAGGGAGAGATAAACAAAATGGCGATAGAGAGCTATGTGGTGGTGCACAACATAGCCAAGAGGCACAACGTCGGGACTCTGGCCCGGAGCGCGACGGCGTTCGGCGTCACGGAGCTCATACTCGTCGGCCGCCGCGACTTCAACTCCTTCGGCAGCCATGGCTCCACCTCCCACGTCCGCTTCCGCCACTTCCATTCCCTCCTCGAAGCTCGCCAATTCCTCAAGGTCTCCCAACTTTCCTCGTCTTTTCTCCGTCTTTTTCCCCGTCTCCAGTTGATTCAATTGAAATCTCCAATTTTTTGTTTCCCCCTTCTGCAGGAGAAAGATTGTGATATATGTGGGGTGGAGATAACAGAGGGAGCTCTCCCTGTAAATCAACATCCTTTCAAGAAGAGCACAGCTTTTCTAATGGGTAATGAGGTATGAAGGCAAAACAGAATCCAAATTGTTTCCTGAGAAGAAATATGGTCAAAGTTCTGTGCTTTAATTACTGGGTCTTGGGAATAATCTGCAGGGGACGGGACTTTCTGCTAGAGAATGTGAGATCTGCGATTTCTTTGTTTACATTCCACAGTATGGATGTGGGACTGCCTCATTGAATGTTACTGTGGCTGCTTCCATCGTTCTTCACAACTTTGGAGGTACTATTTTCACTGACAAACATTCTCAATTTGAAGTCTCGAGCTTTAGATATACAAAGAGGCTTTTAGTAGTTAGTTAGATAGCATTCGATCTTTGTCGTATCTATGATCATGAACTTGTGTGATTGCTGGAAATTTCGCACTATGAAGTTCAGTAACAACTCTGGGTTCTGTGTATGTATCCAGTTTGGGCGGGATTTTCTGAGCGGAGCCGAGATGGGAACAAGTTTGTTGTAGCTGAGAGACCAGAGAAGCAAGTGAGATACAGTGCTGAAACGGAAGAAGCGATCGTGGAAGAGAGGAAGTGCAAAAGAGAGAATGCAGCTAACGGTGGGTTCTTTGAGGTGGAGGACGGTGGGAAGGGAGATTCGTCGTCTGCAGCAGCAGCTAACCTTCTTGATACCTTGTTTATAGACGACTGAAGTGATTACTGAATGCACTGGATTTCCAGCATGGCAGAGGCTTCAAGGAGGACTGAATTATCCTCTGACCTCCACAAGTCAGTGCCTTGTTGTGGAGAAGATTGGTTTTCAGGCACCATCGGAGGATCCTTCTATGAGTCCTAGCACCCTAAACAGCTCAGAGAATTTACAGCTGATGGAGCCAAAAACTTTAATGTTTCAGAAGAAGCTGTTTGATGATTGAGATGAGGATAGAATCCCCACATGGCCCAGGTTTTACACGCTCAAGTCAAATGCTACCCCATTTCCTATGTGTTATTGTTTCAAAAGCTTAAACATTCTTCTTGTACACTTACTCCACAAAGTAAGCCTAACCTTTGACTTGAATGTCGTTTCTGAAGCCTATTATTGTTCCCATTCGAGTTTGATTATCCACCCATTGTATGTCAAAGTTAGGCCAACTGCCCTGCTCCATATGGCATCATAAAGAAAGGGCAAAAACGATGTATGAAAGCTATACTTTAAAGATGTATTAGAGGTATCATTTTGACTCCCAATCGCCCTTGTTTATTTTAAAGGTAAAGCAGCCAACTCTCAATCAAGCCCTTGTGTCAAGGCAGTTCAGTAGCTTCAGCCGGCGATCTGCACGAAGAAGAACAAGGTCTCCCCCTCTTCCCACCAATACCCACATATAATTTTAGTGCCGTTCAAGTTGGCATTTTGCTTCTCTTGAAGAAATCATCATTAATAAATCCAGTTAGACTTCCACGTTCTTCTCCTGTAGTCAAACAAACCATGAATGAATCAAAATTGCTTCCAGCTGTTTTAATACGCAAAGGGTACCATCATCCATTCATCATGGTTTAAATTGACCGGCAGAAACAAGACAAAGATATCTCTGGTGCTGCTGTTATCTGTCAATTCTTCTTCTTCTTTCACATGTTTTATGTTTAAAAAAAAAGGCCAATGGATCGCAGTTTGATTGATGGTAGTTGGTTTAGGCTTTTTGGGGGGTTATAAGAGGAATGATCAAGGAAGAGAACCCACCAATCCTTTTTGCCACTTTGTCAACCTTCTGGTTTACCCCACTTTTGGGGAGCAGGTGGAAGCTTGCAGCCAAAATTTTGGGATCTCTGTAACTACTTTCTTACCACCCTTCTCGTATTTTTCCCTTATTCACCCAACTAACTTTGTCTTATAACTATGATGCAGATGGATCAAAGCCTGAAACTTTCCCCCTAATCCATCCTAGCGAGAAGAAGAGTTCTTTCAGAAGCTTAGAACATGTTGAGCACAGTGAGCAGAGCTCTAAGGCTGCTGCTGTCCAAGATCCAATGGCTGGTGTGGAAGCGCCCAAGGCCAAAAGTGATCATAAGAAGGCTGGGGAAGAAGAAGAGCTCCAAAGATCGCTGCAAATGGGACGCCACCACCCAGAGATCGTCAAGCTTCCGGTTGCGAAAACTGAATCTTTCCAACCCACAGAAGCCAATTCGAGTCGCCACGTTCAACGTCGCCATGTTCCACCTTGCACCTGCAATTCCAAGCTCAGATGATGGTCCGACGAAATTGGGATTCGAAGAGGAGATGTTGGAGGAACGGCTCAAGGCGGATCTCAGCTACCACCATCCAAAGAGCATCCTGAAGCAATCCTCTCCCGCGAAATCCCCGTCGTCGAAGCTGAAAGTATCGATCAACCTCCCCGAAAACGAGATATCTCTGGCCAACATGGGCGGTGGGGGGAAGAAGTTCTTGAGCATTGTGGAGGAAGAAAGGGAAGGTTCGTCGAGGATCATCGCCAGCAGGAACTACCGGAGCAGCGTGGTGATGAGATCACCTGTTTCTTTGCCTGCAAGTTATGGTTATATGACGAAGCCGCATAGTGGTGAAGACAGGTTGATGAGTGGAAGGAGAAGCGTACTGGAAGTGATGAGAGAAGTCGGTGCAGATGTTTGGGCGCTGCAAGACGTGAGGGCGGATGAAGAGATGGAGATGAGGCCATTGTCTGATCTAGCTGCTGCACTGGGGATGAAGTATGTGTTTGCTGAGAGCTGGGCGCCGGAGTATGGGAATGCTATCCTCTCCAAATGGCCGATTCGAAGGTGGAAAGTTCAGAAGGTTGCTGATGATCAAGATCACAGGTTGGTTTTTGCCAAGATCTCAAATCCTTTTTCTATGCAGAAAAAATTGCTTGATTAGTCTTTTGAAGTGGTGGTTTGATTGTGACGATTTTTATAGGAATGTGTTGAAGGCCACGATTGAGGTGCCGTGGGCAGGAGAAGTCGATGTCTACTGCACGCAGCTCGACCATCTCAACGAGAACTGGCGAATGAAGCAGATCAACGCGATCATGCAATCCAACGACTCCCCCCACGTACTGGCTGGAGGTTTGAACGCTCTGGATGGTTCGGATTACTCGTCCGAGAGATGGATGGACATTGTCAGGGTAAAAATTTCAAACCTTCTTTCTCCATGGCTATCTTGTGGTACTATTTCCATGTACTGAACTACTGATAAGCTCAATCTGGTTTTTGCAGTACTATGAGGACATAGGGAAGCCGACGCCTAGGACGAAAGTGATGGAGTTCATGAAGGGTAAAGGCTACAAAGATGCAAAGGAAAATGCAGGGGAATGTGAGCCCGTGGTGATCATCGCCAAAGGCCAAAGTAAGCAATATACTTTGCGTAGAATCAAACTGGATGTTTTGCACTGTAATTTCGAACAATCGTATTGATCGTTGATTCCATCTCTAGATGTTCAAGGGACGTGCAAGTATGGTACGAGAGTGGACTACGTTCTAGCGTCACCAGACTCAGCGTTCGAGTTCGTTCCAGGATCGTATTCAGTGATCTCATCCAAGGGCACCTCTGATCACCACATAGTTAAAGTCGACCTCACAAAAACAGGGCAGTCTTACAAAAGGAATGAAACAGGTAGAGTGCAGCGCAAGAAACCTAAGCAGAGGATCGTGAAGATCACTGAACCTTGGTGCTCTGGAGGCATTTGGAAGCTAGATCCATAGAGGGGCATCATGGTCAATTTACGGTACTTGCTATGTTTTCTATACTTGATTTAGGCTAAAGATTTAAGTCGGTATAATTAGGGCCTATTGCTTGTAAGTTGTAACTATACATGTAATTTTGTGTTAGTATACAGAAGATAATCAGTTGTAAAATAGCATTATTTGGAAACACAAAGCATGGATATGAATCTTTTTGACCTCATAGTAGATGGAGGATTCGTCTCCCGGTGCGTTTAATATACGAGATGCAATGTACGAAATATTTTCAGTATTAGTGTGTAAGATTTAGCATTTTGAAAAGTTTGTCATTGTTTTTTTATCAGCTTAATATTTTATACCTGGATCAAATTTCATCAATAGATAATTTCCCATAGAAAAGAATGTGTGCATAATAAAACATAATCGTTGTATAAAGTTTTACCAATAGATCATTTACAATACACAAAGTGGTGTGCAAAAGTGATAAACTATCAACTATCAACTACTAGCACAATCTCATCTTGTCCAGATTGCCTCGTAAAACTAGGTCACTCATTTATCTACACCGCACTCGCACCAACCTTTTCAACTCGAACAAAGCTGGCTTGAAGAATTTGATAAGAGCTATCCCATATAAACCAGAAAAAAAAGACATTCCCTCCATACAAATCCTCAATTTAACCATCATCAAAACCAAACGTTTCCATTTACACAATCAACTTGTACTACAACAACACACATGAACAGAGTATATCAAACTAGCGCAGGGCCCGGCCCGTTGGGCGGGTAAACTAAACATAAGCGGCGCATTTGACAAACGTTGGAACATGAAATCAAATGAAAACGAATTCATTTTTTTGTCAATTTAAGTTTCAAATTGTTCAGTTAAAATGTTTATACGAATATATGAAATTTAATAAGTGGGCTGTAATATTTGGAACATAATAATAAGCATCACATTGGTAAAAACCACAGGAGATAGATGGAGCAGCCAAGTAATAATCTATTGGGGGAAAGAGTTCAACATTCATAATTGGAACAACTATACAGAAATTATCTTTGAATTAAAGCACTGTTCAAGTACGTCACCCCCTCTACCAGAATAATTTGCGAAGAACCAAATCAAACTCATTGGTCTGGCCGTTGAAATCTCCAAATTCAATCATAAACTTCAATATATTCCCCCTGAGAGCAGCTAGGAGAGTCCTGAAGTCATTGGTCCATTCCTTGTCTGTAGCCTCAATGATACGACTTGCTATCCACCGGAACTTGGTAGTCATAAACATGATAGAAGCCTCATGAGGACCAGTAGCAACAGTCAGCCTCACCATAAACTTGAGATGCACACTTGACCAAGAAACAGTAACATCCTTGACTGTTGCAGTAGTAAGGTACAAATTCCCCTGCAATATGAACCACATGAAAGCTTACATTTGGGAATGGTAAGAGGATAATTGATATTTTATTGGTCAAGTTAGAGCATTAGAGACGCAGTTACATCCAACCATGGTGTCCAGGCCAACAATTATGATATTCAATGGGAGCAAAATATGAATGTTGAAATTTTTGTAGGAGTTGACCGCGTGTACATATAAACTACCTGGTTGGTGAAATCAGTCTTATATAGATTCAGTTCCGAAATGGAACATATCTCACTTAACCATATAGCATCCTCCAACGTGTAGTCAATGGCCAGCGGGACATTTTCTATACTGTAAATAAAAAAAATAATTCCAAAACATGAGAATAAGAATAATAAAATAATTGATTCTATTGATCAAAGGTTAAACACTTACTTATCAAGCAGGGGGTGCACGTGAGGATAGTGCAAGTTGCAATATACTTTCGTTGCATTTGAGCCCACACAATATTCTTCCCCTAAAACCATAACATCTAAAAACTCAATTACCACTAATCTAAACTAAAAGAACAGGTTCGAAAAATAGAATGAAAACCATGTAAGAGACCTGCGAAGTGGCGAACAACAACGGAAGTGAAGACAACTACTGTTCCTGGTAAAGGATCATTAGGTGTCACAGCTTGAAATTCGTCAATTAGACCATCCCATAAGACGACATCAACTATAGGTCCCCTAAAATTTTAAAAAAAAAAAGATGCATGAATGGGCTGCATACGGTAAGCACACTTCAAATGTAACCTGTACAAAAAAACAACCAACTGACTCAATCAATCTAAGCTGCACTCCCTTTCGCCGTAAAATAGCAGCATCTTCGAATAGGACCTCTTCTTGTTCAACAGTTTCAACCTCCCCAATTAAATCTGAGCCCAAACATATCGTTAGGCACACAATATGAAAACCAAACCGGCCAAATAAAGCTTTCTTTGAATTAGAAATACCAGACAAATATTCATGATTATGGACAGCAAAGGGAAGATCATTAGCAGCCAAAAACCGAAAGCTATATGTTGGTATGTCGGCTGCATTCTGGAGTTCCTCAATCACCGTATCATTATGAAAGCGGATTCGGATAGTTGCAGGAGCAACTCTATACGTATCATCATATTCTTGGACCAAAAAGTTGCTCAAGAAATAGATCCTTCCCACGTGAAGAAGAGGAGCAAACAACTGAACATTAAGAATATCAACCAAGGCCTGCATCTCTGTTCACTAAAAGTCACGGTAAAAAATCTTTGAGTATTTTTAGAATTGAATAGCGTACTTCCCACTCATGTAACGAATAGAAGGCTTATAAAATCAAAGTACCTGGTTGTCGAGAAACAACATGTGGATTTGGTCAAGCGTTACACCATCAGGCCTCATTGTATGCCATAAACGCAGGAGCCTGACGCGAACAGCCTGGTCATTGTCATGGAGGTTCAATTGGGCTAAATTGCGGAGAGCCATCACTGATACGGCACGCTGGAAAAGAGTCAATATTTTGGATGGCACCAAACCTTTTCACGTGCTGGAAATGTTCTTTATATAGACTTGCAGGGAAGGAAGTTGGTTTAAGCTTGAGAATAGGTGGCATAGTGGAAGAACGTGGTGATCATGGCAGTTAATGACTTATTATTTGTATTTATAATATATTTTAATAAGAAAATGACAGGCCATATTGGCAAGCGAAAGTAGCAGTACATAGTAAGCATCGGCTTAGGAACTATTAACATTTTTTACCCTAAGACTTGTCTGGATTCTGACTAATGGTGTGAATGGTCTAATGCAGGGGTTGGTCGAATCATAAGTCTGGTTCTGCACATAGCAACCTTGATCTCGGCATGATGTGAAAATGGAAGCAGCCAATGATCCTTTCATTGATGCTAATTACCTGGTCAGAGTTGGATTAGTAATTATTAACATTTCTTTTCCTTATACTCCAAAATGAAATGGATCTTTGGTGATGTCCAAGTTGTTTAACTGTACTGGATTGAACTCTGAAATGTCATTCAATATGTTTCATTTGAAATTTGATGATGAATTTGCTGGTTTAAGAGAGTGCGGGATAAAGGGGCCCATTGTATGAGCATGTAATGGATGCTGAGATGAAAACATAGGATAGGAAAACCATGTAAGAAAGGCATGATGAAAATAAAGATGTGTGTAATTCATTATTTGTCAAAGGATGTGATAAAGCATTTCAATTTGCCAAATATTGATCGTTCACATATGCGGGTTGGAATTCAGTAGAGTTGAAGAATTTGACGTTGTATTTTTTTATATCACTTGTCTCGACCAACTCCTCAACTACTGTTTTTGCATCCAAGAGAATAGGTACGTATATTGAAATCCATCAATCCTTGTATGGCACAACGACCCATTGTCACTGTGCAACACAACAAACGGGAACAAAGGAAAACCAGTAAACAGTTTCGACAAACACCCAGCAGTCTAGCAACAAAAGGAAATTGAACTGTTCTTCTACAGAATCAAAGTGGAACTACTAATAGGGTATTGGTTACATAACGTTCAACCCCTCAGATATCACTCTGGGTGCATCTTTCGTGTCAGTTTATTATCAGGGGTGATATCAACAGAAACGCCTTTGTCTGCCTCTTGATGTGCTGGATCTGGGATGGAAGGTTGCGATGAAGTTTGGGAGGACTCAACTCCACTGGTAATTGATGAACATGAGGCATCTTTGTGAAGAACAGAAGCTGGAGACTGAAATTAAAAAAATGGTGGAAAGTAGAAACAATTAATAGTAGGACTTTAAGAGGATTCAATGAAAGCTATTATTAATCAAGTACGAATCAGGTCATGCAAACATATGTCATAGTCATTGTACACAAAACAGTATAGTAGAGTTATAAGTCTGGAAGATCTAATGAGTAGCTCACCTGTTCTGTGGGTTCCAAGACTTTTAAGACGGTGAAATCAGCTTGTGAATCACTGTAGAGATTTAGCTTGAACTTGACATGGAATAGTTTGGTCTCACCAACTATTTGGAGTAGATCTGGAGGGGGTACCTCATTGTTCTGACCCGTCCTATTGAAAAGATCATTACCACTGACACCAAAGAAGCGTTTTGCTTCATACTCAAAGATGATAAAGGTAGCTGGCACAGAACTGCTTTCAACATCAAGCTGTATACGATATCTGGAAAGGCACGAAATGGAAATTCAGCATATTCAATGAAGTTTATAATTCAAGGATCTGATGGAATTTATCTTGGAACTCAATGATATGGTATTTACTTGGCAGCCCTTGTTGGTGTTGGCTTGTTGCATTTGACACAGTAGTATTCTCCATGTCTTTCTATGGGTTTAAGGACACAGGTTGGATAGCCCATATAACACCAAAATGGCTTGATTCCTACGACTTTGCATTCAACAGCATACACACATTCCTAGTTGTAGTCGAAGTGAATTAATATTGGCGTATAGATTAGAGAAAACACCATAATGTAAATTTAGAGAAAAACACCATAATCTAACCTCATTATCAGGGTCCAATTGAAGTTCCAGCAATTCCGATAGAGTAATATTAGGGATGAAGGGGGGTGGGGGTAATTCAACAAACACGGGCTGCTGTGGTTGCACATTCCTTTTTCAAAAGAAATAAATATGTTAATTTGACATTGGTTCAACAGTATGGTTCGGATATTCATTAGCAATTAAAAGAGAATACCTGGTTGTGAAAGCCTTTACTTCTGGGATATCAAGGTTGGGATACAACACTGTTGAACCCGAAGAATTAAAGCAAAGTTCACCTGAAAAATTAAATTGATGTTGTTCCTACTGATCAGTCACCCATATATCTCAAATGCAGCACAGTGTAAACAGATGTTGTACCTAGGAAGGGTTTGACAGAAACCGCAGTCACAACCAGTATGACTTGTTCATCATCACCAGGCTTGATCAACTTATCAAAGTCGCTACAACTCTTCCCCAGATAATAACTTTGACAACATCCCCTCTGTAAAACAACGTAGGCTTAGGTTTGACAACATAAGTAATGCCTAAGCATGGGTGTAAATGAACACCATACAATGAAGTGACCCATATAAATGTATATGATCAGAGGCTGAATAACCCATGATCTAAATTTATACTGCCTAGAAAAAGTAGAACGTTGTACCCAAGCAATCATCAATCATTCATGTAACTCCAACTTCATATTGATACAACCGTAGCAAAGATAGCTCTAACTCAATTAGTTTCAGTTGAAGCTCCTTCCGAATGGTTTTCCTAGCAAGATTCGTTGTCTTGATGGCATCCGAGTGCTGTACTACTTGCCCAACAACATCTATACAAAGAAAAGTTAATGGAAATTAGACGCAAGCAAGCACAGAAAGGAAATCAACCACTGAATAAATTGCGGTTGTAACCTGAGAGTACGACCACATCATTCAATTTAGATGCCATCTCACTTGCTTTGAGGAATTTGAATTTGAAGGCAGGAATGGAAGGGACATCGGGAACATGCTCAACAGTAGTCTTCCGGGAGAACGACATGATATATGTATTGGCAATGGGGCGATATTTCAGTTGGGTCGTGTGAAGCTCAAAGTTTTTAATGGTGTAGACCTGCTGTTCCTTCAGCAATCATTTGAAGTGTTCTTGCAGCACTGGTGGGATATGCACCCATATATCATTCCCCTGGGGATTTATAGAGACGAAATAAGACAGTCTGGATGATATGTGACGCAACTAAAGTTAATGTTAAACACAGCCGTACCTTGGCATCCATCAAGATGAGATCGAAATGCAGGACTTTATCAGTCGTCACATTAACACCCAACCATGCCCTGGAGACGCGACAATGCCCTGACCAGAGTTGTTTCTCGGACTCAAGATCTCGGATGCCATTGAATGCCATGGTGTAGCTACCAAAGTACATAAGCACTTAGTTATAGTGTAGGAATAGGAGGTTGGTTTGATGGAGGAATGAAGTGGGAAAAAAATTCTGTGAAGAAGAAGTTACCTGGCGGGATTTAGCAAGCGTCAACTGAAATATAAAATGAGCCGAGAGATTTAGAGAAGGTATATATATGTGGATTCCAGTTGGGGCAGTTACCAATTGCCCCACGTTGGCAAGCAACAGCAACATCTTCGGAAGGTAACTGCTACACCAACGTGAACTGCTTATTCAAAGGGTGTAGAGCTGGAGATGGAAACAGGGGGGAAAATTCAAATATGTCAGTTATAAACCAATGTAAATTTCCCAAGGACCGACAACGCGCCAAAACAGAGCCAGTATAACTTACCATCCATGTTCAATGAGTACCTGGGGTTGAAAAGCAGCTCGGTTCCTTTTATTCCCCGCTGCCGCCGCAAAGAGGGCCAAAGTCGGAGCTGAGGCTTTGACTGCGTGACGTCTGATTCCAGGTGGAAACCATCTTCCAACCTGCACCCGGTTGAATTGAATTGCAATGTTCGGGGCGGATGTAGTCTGGGCAATTGGTTGCTTCTTCCAATTAGGGATATGGGGAGATGGATATTTGGGGCAGGTGTTCTGCATGGGGAAGACCAGTTAGCTAGCGCCATCCTCAGATAAGCGTTCGCTGCCGACGGGGATCCGAGCCTGTGGTCGCAATTCACTCGCCGGTGAAAGGCAATGGTAGCGCCAAGAATTGTTTGTTGTACTCTAGCCTCTAGGGTTGGAGCTCGATTCCAATGCTGCTAGGAAGCCGCCCAAAAAACCAAAAAACCATGTGGGCCGAAACCTCCTCCACTGTTAATTAGGGGAAACGACATTCACATATGAGATCTTGTTGTGGGCTATAGATGGACCGTCATGTGTAACAGGCCCATGTGAAATATCTTTTTCGCTTGGTTATTTAGAATGGGTCCATTTATATATCTATCTACCTTAGAAAAGTATAAAGACAAAAGCACATATTCTAAACTGAACTTTTCCCTTTACACTGGCGGCAATAAAAGTTGGGAGAGTGAAATGGGCTTTGCCACATTTCTGCCAATTCATTTACCATTTGTTTTTTATTGATCAATTAAACTATAATAATAGAAAATTCTCTTTCGTTAATTTACATTTAACACACGGGAAGATTTAATTGGGATGGTGCAATACATCCATCCCAATGACGGTTTTCTCAGAGTAAAGGGTTTTTGGAACTCAAGCGATCAATATGGTGCACTTGTGCTTGAATGGTGAGTATTCCTGCAAGTGAAATATACAGATCAAATTATTATGATTTTGTAAGACCTTCAAAGTTGATTTAATGTACTACCAAATGAGTCGCAGGACTATGTTGCTTAAGACGATCCCTTTCAGCAGCGGTTTGTTGGTTGGGAGGAGGAGTTGAAATTAGGTGTGTCATTTTCTCATAAACGTGAATCAATTGACAATGCATCGCTAGGGTTGGCAGATTGATAAAATAAATGAATACCATTTTGAAGTAGTGAATTTTTTAGCCAGTAAATCACTCGTATCATCGAGTAAAAAAAAAAGTTAGGTTTTCATTTATTTATTATCATTTGACAAAAACATATCTGTATGGTCAGCACAAATTATTGGTTGGTATGCGTGTCAAAAGAAACAACAACAAAAAAAAAACTTGCGGATGAATAATTGTATTCTTAATGGTTTCTATTGGTTTTTCGGTTTTAACCAAACCAAAACCATTAAGTTGCTTATTGGTTTAAAACAAAACAAAAGAAACAATTAGCTTTCCAATTGGGTTGGGTTTGGTTAAAACCCAAAAAAACCCAAACCAAATGGACAGCCATAGCGACGCTTGGATCAAACAAATATAAAACCCAAAATAAAAAAAACAATTAAAACCTCCCACCCACCCGAAGACGGTTTAACTCCCTTCTTCCTTTCCCTCCTCCATCGCTCTCACCTACCCTCCAGTCCCTCCACAGAAACCTGACCATCCACATCCCCAACCCGCCATCTTCTGCTTCTCCTGCTTCCCGCTCCCTCCGCAAACCCCGACCCTCCCACTACGCTCGCTCATTCTCCCTCGTCGAACAACCCTACCGTCGAATCACCACTCGCGCGGACTCCAACAACGGCACCGAGTCACGACGTCACTATTCACTCGCCGGCGAGAAGACCAAAAGTCCAACCAAGCCATTGCATGCACTCATGTTCCAGCCCTCCCTGACTGACCGATATTAGTACCATCTCTACATCTCCAGGAGGTAAGTTCTAAAGTCTTACCGCGTAAAGACCCAGCCGAAGACGTTTCAACTCCCTTCCTCCCTGACGCCTTCTTCTGCTCTGCTCACTCTCCGGCCAACAAAGCAACTGGAAACCCATTCCAGTGCATGCACTCATTTTCCAGGCCTTCTCTCTGCCTGATCGACGTTAGCCCTATCTCAGCATCTCTAAAAGGTAATTTCTAAAACCCTACCTCGGCAAAATCTCCCCTTTCCTCTCATCAAGAACTTCAACCAATTTTTCCAGACCACTCATCAATTACATTCGCTTGCTGGCCTTCAAATTAGGTTTCTCCAGATCTACTACAATCTTATCATCCAGAATTTTTTTTTTTTAGTTCGATACTCCAAGGAAACTTTGTATGTTTGTATTGACACATTCATGTATTGGGTTGCTATTGTTTGTGTATATTCGGGTTTACATAATTAGTTGATTAGTTTTACAGCTCTAACATTTGTTGATAGAGTTGCTAATATTGCTACTAATCTAAATTATAGATTCTTTTCCATGGGAGACTTCGTTTCAAATCTGCAATATGAAGTTGCCGCAAGAATTTGGGACAATGTAGAAACGATAGATCTTATCCCTATGCAATTGGATGTTGCTAATCAGGTGAATCAGATAACATGTATTTTATCTATCCGGAATCTATATTTTATCTAAAGAATTTGCATCTGATTTGGTCTTATTTTGAACTCCTTATGTTTTGGCTTGTACCAGGGCAAGTCATACATTTTCAATGGTTGGGTCACAGAATTGAGGAGATCTTGGCATGCCGACTCCAGCATATACTTGCTTCACTTGACAATTGAAGATTTTATCACCGATCTTGAGGTCGTATTTCCATCAGCTTACTTACGGCGAGTCATGTCTGCTGTTGTTGGTCCTGATGAGATGGAAGATGTGGAGTACATTCCACTACTCAACAGGATTGGTGAGTCGCCATATAGGGTCTTGGTCACATTCGGACCTTGGAACAACGTGGAGAATCGTCTTGATCTCTTCTTGGTTAAGTTGTTCCCGATTTTAGATGACTAAGTAGCGTAGGGTATTATTAATATAATCGGATTAATGTTAGTAATGGTCCACCTCGCTCTAATTTCGAATTATCTAACAGCGTAATGGATATGTGAACGCAAATATTTTTTGAAAGGTTATTATCCTTTTGAGGTGGTCCTTCATGTAACCATATTTTGAGCATCATATAATTTTGCTCTTTGTTTACTGTCACCTTCCTTGCTATTTGGTAATTCCTTTTAAATCCATTAGGACAACATGGAATCCTGCTCCGTGACATATACAACGCAATGCACATATGGACTATGGTATGCATATGCAAAATAGTCTAGAACACACCTTACAAAATAAAGAAACGCATTTAAAAGATACTAAGCTTACCATGTGGAATATATTCAACAGTACGTCGCAAGCGCGCATTCAAGATCTCTCGTCGTCGTTTTCGATAGGATTGAGCTATCAAGCCATCAATATGCTCAACTTGTGATTGAAGGGTGAGTATTTCTGCAATTGAAATATACAAATCAAATTATCCTGATTTTGTGCCAAAGTAAACTTTAATTTAATGTACCAACAAATGAATCGCGGAACTACGTTGATTAAGACGATCCCTTTCAGCAGCGGTTTGTTGATTGGAAGGAGGTTTTGGCGGGTTGAATATAGCTCGCATGAACCCTGCAAAATACGACAGAATTAAGGCAGCGGGTATATGTTGTGTCCATTTTGAATACGTACAATAACAGTGGAACATGGGAAAAACCAAAGAAATCAAATTACATTTGCCCTTTGAATTCCGACGGTTGGGAGCACTGGTTTGCACTGAAGAGCTTCCACCAGGTTGTTGATTTCCGGACATTATCTTGATTGCAATCACACTTAAGCATGAACCAGCAAGCTCTAATTGATCAAAAATAAAGGTTTACTTAGCGGTTTGTTGATTGGAAGGAGGTTTTGGCGGGTTGAATATAGCTCGCACAGTTTTATTTAAATGTGAATTCACCAGCAGTCTTTGGGCCGACTACGTCAAGGGGGAAGAGTTTGGGCCGGATACTTCAGGGGGCAACAGTCCGGTCCGACTATATAATAAACTGGCCCGGTCCACCGGCAGAATGTGTTGGAGGTGAAACGCACAGTTTTATTTAAATGTGAATTCACCAGCAGTCTTTGGGCCGACTACGTCAAGGGGGCATAGTTTGGGCCGGATACTTCAGGGGGCAACAGCCCGGTCCGACTATATAATAAACTGGCCCGGTCCACCGGCAGAATGTGTTGGAGGTGAAACGCACAGTTTTATTTAAATGTGAATTGCCTAAAGTGCCCTTCCGACAAACCCTCTGTGGGCTGGAAATTTGAATCCCTGCAAACTAAACACTTGTTTTGGCTTCATATATCTTATAGATTACATTTGCCACAAACTTGATATATACCGAGTAGTTATTAAATCACACCAACTTTCTCAGCAACCAAACATCCAAATCAAACACACCACTCTCACGAACTCTTGTTATCATCATCCTCATCGCTCGCCGGCGGGTACCCAATCCCCCGCCGCTTGTTCGGGAAAATCGCAAACACAGCACTCGAAACCACCCCAATCACCGGCGGCAGAGCCATCAGCAACACCTTCTCCTGCGATTCGAACGCCGGGTAGAAACAAGAAACCGTATTCCCATCCAGCAGCGACACAACCGCGAAAACAACCAGCGACAAGAAAGCATGGAAGAAATCCCCAACCCTAACCCTGTACCCGGAGAAATCCCTCCCGCCGGCGCCCGACGTCGGCCAGAACCCTTTAAACGTGGCGACCCCGTAATGTATCATCCCATTGCCGTCGACGTAGCTGTCGGTGAAGGAAGCGAAGCAGCAATTGAACCCGCAGACGACCAGCAGGGCGCCGACGAGGTACTTGTTGACGGCGTTATGGCATTTGCCGTTGTTCGATAGGACGGGGTTCAGGAACTGGAACATGAACACGGTGCCCGTCGGGAGCATCTTGATCATGTTCCCTAGTCCCGAATAGACCCTGTCCTGAGTGGATCGCTGCCGCGGCGGCGGCGATCCTGAAGAAATTAGACCTGTTTCCGCCATTGTTTTTTTTCCTGATGGGTTTCAGGGGACTCTGTTTTTTTTTATGCTCTGCCTCTCTGGGTTTCAGGGGATTGTTAGTGTAGTGTTGCTGAGAGGGGATTTGGTTTTTATAGTGGGGGAAATTGAATGGGTTTGCTTATACGTAAGAGATTGCAAACGGAAACGAAATGGATTAGCGTTTACTCTCAGGAAAATTGTGAAGGTGATTCATCAAAAAAAATTGTGAAGGTGGAGTGGAGGGCGGCGTTGCCTTGTAGTTCAAGCAATGGTCTGGTTCAGGAAAAACGTGACTCCAAGTGTCGAGTGATGCACACTATGTTGTCACAATTCAACAAATCAGTTATATAGTACATCATTTCTTAGACGGGTATCCTCAATTGATTTTTCGAGTTAGACGATGAGTCATTTGTGTCGAAATTAAGGTAAATTATGGTCGATTCGATTCAATCATCAGTTGGAGGAATCGACAGAGTTTTGACCTTTGCCCAAGATTTACTGTTGATGTAAGGTGAGAGTTTGCTTTCTTCACGCCGACTTTTTTTTTCTTTTTTCATGGTATGGTAAGTTGGTAACTGCATGCATTCTCTGGTTTGGTTTTTGGTTGTTGTTGATTTTGGTGAAATCAGTAGCTAGCAGACATGGTAAAAATGGACAGATTACTTGCTAATAAGATTTATGGGTCTTCTCGTGGTAAATAGTAAGCCACAAGAAAATAGGAGTTAGTTACCACCTTCAGAAATTCCAACTCAAATTTGTTGACCCTTGAAGGTTACATACTGGTGCACAGAATATGACCAAATTATATAGATCAGAGTTTTGGGTTATCAATATCGTTTCATGATTTCAAGGTGGTTGAGCTCGAGTTTTAGTGTGCTCCCTATTTATTTTCCGAAAAAATCTCTTGTCACGTTAGGTGACAGAACACCTAATACCAGTTCATTCAAGTCATTTTATACTCATTCACGTAATACTATGGTGATTTACGTAAGAGTGTAAGTTTTTCACGTAAATGGAAATTCATACTTTTTTCCCCTAATCATTTGTATTGGCTATATTTTATGGAATTAAATTAGGATTATCATTTAATCTGCACAAATATGTTGCATTGATCATAATCTATAAATGACATCCATTTTGATATATTTCAAAGTTTAAAATTTTATTTTACAACGGCGTGAATAATTAACAATATGCGTGAATAAACATCAGGTGGCGTGACCTAATAATATTGATTGCGTGAATAATCAACGCTCTTACGTGAATAACGCAAATATGACGGAAATAACACAAATATGGCGTGAATAACGCAAATATAACGTGAATAACCCAAAATTAGGTGTTTTGTCACCTAACGTGCAAGAGACTTCTTGTTAATTGATACAGTAGTGCAGGTTCTATCTATTTTGGGAATATAAAATACCTTGAGAGATTGTTGTTATTTCAACCAAGACAAACTTGGCAAGAATTGAGTTTTTTTTATAAGGATGATATAGATTTTTTTATTAAGGTACTATTTAATGGATTCGAACCTGTAATCTCCAGATTTTGGGCTAATAGTATTATTACTAGACCAAATCCTTGTTCGTTTGGCAAGAATGAGTTTGTGTTCTGATTCGAGTTCCGTTCGTCCAATCTCTTCGAGAGTGGGCAAAATTTGTGAAGAGGCGAGGTGGCTACTTAATCCATCTTCCAACGATCAACATCAGTATAATTATAAGAAGAATATGAAGAGTAAACCTACAGAGAGTTTAGAGAGGTAAGTTGTATGTAAAATTGAGGAGAGCGGAGATAGCCCTCTAGTTAGAAACCCTAATTAGTTGCTTTTTAAAGGTAAATCAAAGGCTTGTGTGATTATCTTGGCCTTTCGTAGGATTTTGAAGGCGCTTCGTAGACCTAGTCCGACACATATGCAGCAGATCGTAGTCGTATTTCATGTCGTCCAGCCATGTTTATGCTCCCAACAATTGCTTGACTTTATCATTTAACGTTATTGTTTTGAGCTAGGTATACAAATGCATAGAAAATGCACTTGAGAAGTCCTTCAAAAGTCATTGATAATACATGTAAAAAAAAAAACTAGATGTAACACAATCAATTTAAATTGAACACAAAAATGGTAATATCAAAATGATTTAGTCATCCCATGTAGTTGATTGAATACCATGTCAAACATGAACACTATTCAATGAATCTATCATAATACAATTGATGACTTTTTAGATAGGATAGGATGGCCATCTGTAATTGGGTGTAAAGAGGAGGATCCTTGTAAGTTTAATGCTAATGCATCACCTTCATGTTTATAGAACACAAGTGTCTGGTCTCAATTTGGTTGGTATTGCCTTTAAAGGATAAAAAAAAATTGAGGGTGGCAAAGCCTTCAACTCAAGATGGGAAATTCCCAATTTTGAAATTGTTGCTTATGTAAAATGTACACTTATTTATTCTTGTATGAAGCATCATATAAATACTAAAAATTGGCATACGTGCCACAGGAGGTAAAGCAGGGGAATTTGGGATATATGTTCTCTATTGTCTTAAGTTAACAACAATATCTTTTTGGATTTTATAGATAAGACAATATGCTCATATGGATAGGGACATAGGATTGTTGAGAAATTTTATATAGCTTCTGTGTTTTGGTTTTAAAAAAAAGTTAGGATTTTGCTACGGTGACATGCATGTCACCGTGACATGGACTTTTCGGTCGACCGAATACAACTTGCGGTCGACCGAATGGGCTAATTCATGTATGTTGGGTTCCTGAAGGCGGTCGACCTCTTACAAAATGCGGTCGACCGTTTTAGTGGTCTAACAGAATGACAGGTCGACCCAAATATCGCATAGGCCGACCCTTGTGCACCTAATAGGTCGACCGCATTGTGAAGAGGTCGACCGCCTTCAGACCGTATCCGTATTGGATATGGATTCCAACACCAGAAAGGTTCCACAATTGGACAAGGAAACGAATTGGGTCGACCCATTCACGTCCTAAATCTCTATAAATACGAATATGAGTCCCCTTCAACGCCACCAAGTCTGAATTAGGTTTTTTTCCGACTTAGAGCCTTTGTGAAGAGCCTAGTTCGCGGTTGCTGTTGTACGTGTTGGAAGAGGTCGACCAGGTCTAAGGTGAGGTCGACCTAATGTAGCATTCGCCGTCTTCTTTTTTAATGCGTGATTTCCACCGGCTAACTTGATATATTGTTGGGTGCAGAATCCAATTCGGTCGACCGCGACGTCAACCAGGTCGACCTGACGAGACAATTCTTCGTATTTGAATTTAGGCCACAACACTTGGACTTCTGTACTTGCGAGGTAACCCAATCGGTCGACCTAATGAGTTTCAAGGTCGACCGTATATGTTTTTTTGGTTATTCAACCTGAATGTCGACTTTGGCTTTGTTTGTATGACTATGTTGTGCTTGAAAAGGTCGACCGCGCCAGATATCTGGTCGACCTGTCCTTTTTTCGGTTTAATTTTGAACTTACTATTTGTTTGTAATTGTTATTTTCCTGCTGGATAGGTCGACCTAGGAATAACCGAGGTCGACCTGACGAGTTGTGGTAGTCACTATTTGTCTTACAGGTCGACCTAATACTTTGTCAGGTCGACCACGTCTTTGTTTTTTGGTCAATTATAGAAATTTGTACTTGAATTATGATTTTAATTTTTCTTTAAATTGTTTAGACGATGACGCATGATGAGAAACTGCATCAAGATTTGGGTGAAATCATGAAATTGTTGAAAGCCACACAAGAGAAGCTGGTGGTGTGTCAAACACAAGTCGAGCATTTGTCAGTTCGACTGACAGATATGACTGGGATGATGCATGACGGGTTTGAGAGGCTAGAAGGTGCTATCAAAGATATAAGTGCAGAACGAATGGAGAATGGCGGCACAAATGGTAAAGGAAAGAAATTTGACTTTGGTAAAGAGGAGGAAGACCATGATGACTCTGAAAATTGCTACCAGAGCATAGACGATTTATTGAAAGAGCACATTTTAAAGGTATCCAAGTATATTCATATGTGATTGAAGATATTAGTATTACTATCATTAGTGCTAATCTATTTTGTTTATATGTTTGACAGAGTGAAACAAAGAATGGCCGCAAGGGTTCCTCTCCTAATTACAAGAGACCGCGATATGAAAGTGACTCCTACACCACTCCACAGAAGGATCAATTTGTAAGAAAGGGATTATTTAGTGATGATAGCGATGAAGATGAATCTAAGAGTCCTTTCGAAAAGCACGGGGTAAGTTTACGTTACATTTTCATCTATAATGTGTGTTTGTGTTCATATGTTACTTTAATTTTAACTATGATTTGTAGGTCATGAAAGTGGAGGGTCTAGAAGGATTCACCAAAAATCTTCAAAATCCAGTTGAAGACTTGTATTATGTTGTTACTAAAGAGAAGGTTGGGGACAAGAATTGGGACAAGTAAGACGTTTTTCTAGTACGTGTGGTCGACCGGTTGTCCAATAAGGTCGACCGTGTGTCCAATAAGGTCGACCTTGACTGTGTACAGGTCGACCTGTACGTTGCAAAAAAACAATTGACATTTCTGTTATCTTGATTTTTGCAGTTTGATGATTGTGGACTTTTTTTCTGAAAACCTGCAACGACATTATTTGAGTTCGGTCATTAGCGAGAAAAGCTGGGTTTGCTCATCAGTAAGTACTATACTACTACGACTTTCGCATGAATTGTGCACTATTTATGTTACGATTTACGATGATTTTGTGTTTGATTGTTGGATGGTAGGTAGTGGATTTGTGTGCAAGGGCACTAACAATGTCTGAAAAACATGATGTGAAAGAGCCAAATGTGTGGTATTTTCCAAATATGTTTTCGGTAAGAGCCGTAATGTCAAATTATTTGTCATAACCTAGTTATTTATATTGTACCATGTCAATTCATCTCAACTAAAACATGGTGCAGAAAATGGTACGCGCTAACATGAAGACCAGACAAATTCGTAACAAGTTGATGA